TCAGGGTTTGATGTACCATGATTGACTAACACTCCAGCACCGGAGTGTGGTCCTCAGCCTACTTAAGTACTGGTCTCCTGATGAGCAGATGAAGAACAGCTGGTGAAGTCAGCTCCAGCCTCAGGAGATCCAGTACGCCCTCTGGTGGAGAAAGGTAGACAGAAAACCCCAGATCCCAACAGTAACAGAAAAAATCCCCAGGAAGGGATCCTCGGCGCCCTCTAGTGGGTAAGCCTCAGGATCCCAACATTTTTAGTGGCAGTAGAAACAGCAGACTGACCCATGTTGACCCACGTTAAATGACTCTGTGAGCGAATCAGGTTAAAATCCCTTTCAAACGGCTCAACTCCAATCAGCATATAGTGGGAACAACAGACCTGTGTGAACATGCTATTTCACATGTAGCCCTTGATTGCGTATGTAAACCACAACATTGCACCAGCTGAGTCTGATTTAGGAAAGCCAAAACAAATCTGCTTGCATTGGATAAACATGCTGCAGCACTGGAAAGAGAGATTGGACGGACAAAAAAGCAAAACAATAAAGCACACTGACTACGCACCGGCTGCCTCTCCATTGTTTTCTTTTCTGATTTCTGTTCATCTGATGACATCATCAACGTTAACCCAGAGTGATGTCATTACAGACAGCAGTGGGGGACCGGGATGACACAGCTTGCCAGCTGGGGGTTAGAACCGGCTTTTTGGCCATATGTCAATTGTTAGTGGGTCGACTTCAGGTTTGAAAAACCCACGTTAACGTGCTAATTTCAGACGGAAAGAAGCTATAGAGTTTACAGATGTTATGGGCTCAACAAAAACAGAAAATATTTGGCCTATTTTGGGCTCTGCTTCTTCAAAAATGATTACTGCCTTTAGGCAAATTTCAAAAACATTAAAAAGCAGATTTGTGTGCATTTGAGGTGAAAACATTAAACTCTGTTGATTTTGGGATGGGTTGCGGGGCAGCGCTGACACCCAGACTTCCCTCTTCCAAGAAAAATCTTCTCATTCCACATTATAAAAGAGACCTAAACAAGTAAGTAACAAAAAACCTATCATACTCTGTAAGATTTCTCATTTTTTTATGCTAAAATAAAAAAGCATGTGCGTCAATACCTGTGTCACAGTAGTTAAACTTCCCTAATCTGATTGTTTCTCGAATTTTTTTTTTTTTTTTTTTTTTACATTTTACAGTATTCAGCATTCAATCCTACCCTGGAGAAAATAGAAATCTCGATAAGTAATTTTTTTCTTAGAATAAGTGCATTTGTTCTTGGATTGAAAAGAGACATTTTGTCAATGGAACAAGACAATTAAAAAAAAACACTTTTCTAAGGCTCAGACCCACATGCAGTGAAGCCAAACAGAGAGACACAGAGTAAAAGTTCAACGGGTTTTATTGAAGAGTATTTTGAGTTTGTTGCAGAGTTCCTCCGAACTCTGCTCGGCCGGGAACTGGAACACGAGGGGAAGACAGACTGTTAGATTCAGGCTCAGTGGGAAATTGGAGTTATTAATCTTGAAGGAGGGGATTTGTTGCCACTCACGTTTCCAGAGAAGAAGAGACATTTAGACTTCAGTCTGTGTGTTGGTCTTCCAGAGTTTGTTTGATTCGGTGGAGGGCGGAACAGGGTTTACCCAGAACTCGGACGGAGTGGAAAGATGCAGCCGCTGGTTGCAACTCAGTTTTCCTGTGGTACTTGAACGGGTCGTGGTGAAGATGATTTCCTTACTCGGAGAGAGATCTCAGTGTGCTCAAAGATGGCTGGATCCAAACCTCCTGTTTGGAATCCGTCGCTCAGTGTAAGACTCAGTTGATCCCACTTGGGAGAAAGCGGTCCGAAAAGGTCCAGTTTGCAGGAAAGCTTCCAGCCGAAAGGCAAAGAACAAACAAAGTTTAGTCTCAGAGAAAAACAAGCGCTCAGTAAAACTCAATGTGATCTCAGCTTGGCTAGAGAACTAAAGCTCAGGATACAAAAACTCAAATTTTTGAGTACCCCAAACTGGCAAAAGCGTCAAAGTAGTGGCAACCAGCAGCTTAAAGCTACAGTGTGTAATTTTCAGCGACATCTAGCGTTCAGACTGCAGACCGCAGCAACATGAACATCTCCCCCCCACCGCTTCTCCCCCCCAACAGTACGGCGAGCGTGACGGGACAAAATGTCTTCCACGACTTCTGCATCACCTACCTTCTCAAGTGATGAGGTTTGTTTACATAGATAATTTTACAGATAGTATTTCATTA